TTTCTGTGCTTTAAATGGAAAACTGCAGAGTTTGTGTGTTTGTTTCACACGTGTGTATTTAAGTGAAGAGATGAAAATAAGATAAGATAGCCTTTCTAAGTGACAAATATACAATACTACTACTGCTACGTTGGTAAGATTTTATTTTATCACACAGTTGCATGTGATTAAAGTAATTTTAAAAAGGCTCCAATGTCACCAATGTAAAAATCCAACATTTCCAATCTCTTGTAATTTAATTAAATTACAGGTTTATCAGTTGTTTTCAAAATATTGTATACAAAGACTTTAGATACACTACAAGTTCCTGCAGCCTCACTGACACAACACTGACTCATCAAACCACCCAAATAGGACATCAGTATGTGTTGAATGTCTTTTACTGGAAACATTATTCACAGTAAATCATGCATTCACAGCAAACAGCTGGATAAGTAAGGACCATAAGCGCTGTTGCCCATTAAAAGGCTGGGAACATGCTAATTAACATTAATTAGCATCATAGCCAATCAGTGTGGCATGTCTCAGAGGAGCTCTAATTGTGGAGGCACCTTTGGTCTACACTATGTTGTTTCTGCTGCTGCTGTTGTTGGAGGCAATTACAACTCTGGTTTGACTGTGTTTACACCTATTAAATTAACAGAAATAACAGTTCAAATAACAATTAGCACTAAATACCCCAACCCTAATTAACCAAAAATCAATTAGTGAACACACAGTCCAATTAACACGTACTAACAAGCCTCTCGTTAACTTTATGTTCCCTGTGAGGATGATGGCGGAAAGAGCATATGGCCCCACAAGAGCATGAAGCAGCTGACCACACATGTTTGGATTCTCATTAGTCTGGTTGCTGCTTATGTACTGTAGACGTGTGGCATTTGGCTTCAGCTCACTCACCTCAGGTTAGTTTAAGTGGGTTTGAGAGTGTTGGACAAAGAGGTTTTTGTAGTATATAGACTGTCTAGATGCAAATTTCTATTAGCAAACTGATCTATTATTACATCTGACTGACATCAGTGCAGTTTGTAGCCCTAATTTTCAGCTGTCACACAGATACACAATGCTTTTTTACAGTATCACCTTCAGAAGACGAGATAATTTCAACATTATAATGTGCTGTTACGCATTTTTGACTTGGTGATAATGTGAAGACATAAAAATATATTACTTCACTTTTTAAAAATTATTTTTTTATTACCTCACCATATTGATGCAAAAAAATATCTATTTTTTTTATATAGCATAACAACATAGTATGTAAATATAATGCAAACATAATACATAAATCTAATACCCATCTGTCAATTTTCCAGCACTCATCTAGGGCCAGGTCACTGGGGCAACGGTCTAAGCGGAGAAGCCCAG